GGGCTAATGAATTTCCTATTTTTTATTATTATTGTTATTATTATTATTATTATTAGTAGTAGTAGTAGTAGTATCTTTACACTTGATAACCTTTTGAGGAATTTATTCAATATTCACCCCTAAATCTACTTTATCTGACCTAATTCATATTATTCTACGTATTACGTAATTTCCGATTTTTATTCCATTGTTTTCTCTCTCACCCCACGTTGACCATATTTATCTCACAATTTCATTTCGCTTATAAACTGATTCAAGTGAACACTTTATATTAAACAGCCCCAACATTAACGATCTGAATTGATTTTATATAACAAACAACAATTCTCAATTCACATATTACAATTTCCAAATGATGTAATCTGCCTTAAATCTGGCCAATTTTATGTATTATTAATTTGGATTTCTAATTGTTAGAACCTGATGAGAAATTATTGAAAAGAATATTCTTCATTCATACAATTGTGTTTTAACAGAATGGAAATTTTCCAGCGATTATAATCCATATAAGTTTAATAACTTTTTCATTTTGTTTATTTCATATATTAAAACATTATTTTGGAAATCAACCAGATTCTTTTTAAACAAAGATCGATAGTAGCTAGTAATGGAATCCAGGACGCGCCTTTTTTCCTATATGGTACTCGTCAGTTGGATGTACCTGCATCACAGATTTGATGTTCACTCTAAGACTCGAACCCAGTTACCCTTCACTTCAAACACCATCACGTTAGCCACCTGTTTGTGCAATGATGTGGATCTTAAATTGATTTGGTATTGTTTGCGTGTATCTCCCCATTTCTGACGAGTCCCAAATAGAATAAAACACGCGTCCTGGATTCCATTGCTAGCCACCATTCATCTTTACTTATAAAGGTTATGACTTAAAGCAATATCGAGGCAATACACATATATGTCAATAATAGACTGATCAATTGCTATCCTAAACACTAATGGAAAGATTCAAGTAAACAAAGAACTCATTTATGTAATTTGTATAAAAATTTTTTAATCAATTTTATTTTCAAGCATTATAATTATGAATAAAAACTGCATCAAACATGTGATTGATCATATTCAAAACAAACTACTTTCATTGTATACTTAAAACTAATTATGATAAGTTAACATAGTTTATGCATTCTGTACATCGTTTTACATTCATGACATGATATGGTTACTTCGACACTCTTTTGTTGTTGTTGTTGGTGGTGTTACCATTACTCCAATTCAATAATATACAATTATATATGGTATATATGTATGGTTATATATATGAGTATGCTTGTATTATATCAACCTTTAAAAGGTTTTATTTTCTTTCCATTCTTGTTTATTTATTTATTTATTATTAATGTAAAACTTGTTTCATCTTGTTTATTTTATAAAATGTAAACAGAGGTGTCTTACAAGAATATCGATTTATATTGTATATAAAGTGTTTTTCTATTCTATTCTGATAGATGTATTCTTACTTTGGATAAAGAAAACTAGACAGATAGAATGTAACATAATCATCATCGTTTATTGACTTTATTCTCTTTTACATTGTATTCTGTTTATAGTTAGAGCATTCATATTGTATGATTGTTCGAAGTACATTACTTAAAGTTATCAAGTTAACTAAGATTTGATCAATTTAGTGGTTATTTTTTTGGATTCACGTAAGTAATCATTCTGATGTTTTAATATTTAGGTATCTTTGATTAAGGGATAATTAAAATTAAACTTGTTAAAAGTATAAGAAATTATATCTGACCTGTAATAGTAAATGATTATCATTCCAGTTCATTGAAAGTGAAGAAAAAAAGAAACTGTTGTTCTTACAGAAAGTAAACTGTGGGTGGGATTATAATTTATGAACAACCTTTGAGCGACGTCAAAGTGACCTTGAGAGTGTCTACCTACTTACTAGGGTTACATGAGGGTTTTAAAACAGTTTGAAGAATAAGGATTATGATTTACAGTTGGTGGTTAGGGTTACGAAATAGATTAAGGGTTTTCATCACGAACAGACATCAGTTATAATGTCAAGTCTATATTTAGCCAAATGGTTGAATGAATTTCGCACCAAAATCTAAGACCTGTTATCGTAAATTTGATTGGTTCGTTCACAAATTATAGTTTCGCCAAACTGTGTCTTCAATCAGTTTTAATGAGTTAAACATTTCAACTAGTAGTTAGTTAACGTACTGTTTAATGGCGAATTGTTTGAGATCTCTGAAAACAACGCGTTGAATTGTATTTAGCATTTATCATTAGTGAAGGGTATTTCAAGTCCTGAAGCAAATTTCGAGTGTTTTTCATAAATTGATTCAGTATTAGTTTCAATATGTTAGAATCTTTCTTATTACTGATAATCTTAATTTAGTTTTTTTATTCTTCTCTTAGTACATTTGTAATTGAAATTTGTATGATGAATTCGTTTACTGTTAGTTTGACTGTTTAAAATAAAGCTTTTCGCATTTTCTAAATCCGACTGGATGATACATTTTGCTAGTGATTTGGAAGTTTTTGAATAGGATTTATAGTAGCAAAACAAATTGTTTGTTATGAAACGTTTAGATTGCGAATTTAACTACAGGACAAATAGGAAAAAAACGAAAGACTTTTAGCCAACAGGTTAACAATTTTATTAGTGAATAGAAGAGCTTTTGGTGGAGTTTTGTTCTCTGAGCTGGATGGTTTGGTCGTGGAGCTTTCATCGTTCTTCTGAACGATATCATCAGCACAAACTTCAGATAGAAGTGAAGTGTTTGAATTTCTCCATATGTGTCTCAAAGCTTGTTCTGTGCACCTTTGAGACACATATGGAGAAATTCAAACACTTCACTTCTATCTGAAGTTTGTGCTGATGATATCGTTCAGAAGAACGATGAAAGCTCCACGACCAAACCATCCAGCTCAGAGAACAAAACTTCACTAAAATCATCCACCTGAGCTACAAATCTTCTCCACCATAGAAGAGTTTAATTCATCTTTGATATGAATAGTAATAAGGAAGCTATAATTCAGACGAATTGAAAGTAAATTCACTCGATGTTGTTTGCTTATATCATCCCGTTTTTATTTAGGACTGCAACAGATCAGTCTATTGTTGGCATATGTGCATTTTGTGTGGATTGCCTCGTTATTGCGCAGATGCCGACAAGTGCCTGATCAATTCAGTCCTAAACAACAATTGGAAGATACAAGCAAACAACACCAAGTGAATTTAAACTTCACACCATTGCACAAACGAGTGGCTATCAGGACTCAATAGCTAAGTGGATAACGCGATAGCGTTTGAAGCGAATGATGCTGGGTTCAAAGGCAAGAGTGAACATCAACTGTGAGATGCGAGTACATCTAACTGACGAGTCCAAAATAGGATTCTATTACTAGTCATTATCCATCTTTGCTTATAAAGAATTTAAAATAAGGTTTAAAATATCATCACCAAGGTATTATTAAACATCTATTTATTTTCATCTGGTTAGTGTTAGATAATGAGTATTTACAAAAATCAATCATCATAAGTTTGGCTACAGTTTTTCACTTACACTTCCGTTGATTTACTGAAACTATGTAAGTTACTTTCAGACACAACCGATTTACACAATTTTAGTATACTTAAGTAAACCTATTTTAGAGGGAAAAAGCTGATATACTTCAACATTAGACTTGTTGACTGTAACATTAATAAACAAGTAACCGTAATTGTTGCTTGTTTTATCATCAGATACCATAGAGGCTGACTGTTGACTGGAATGTCATTTACGTCTCAATAATCAATAATCTAAAAATCCCAACTTCCGCAAAATTAAAAGGATAAATGAATTTAAACACAAACAGTTCACTCTACTGTATGTTTAAAGACTTCCAAACTCAGATACTGTTTAATTACTTCAATAAAAAACATTATTAAACATAATAAGTATCTGAACAAAGATAGATATAAGGCTAGTAATGGAATCCAGGATGTGCGTTTCGTCCTATATGGGACTCGTCAGCTAGATGTACCCGCATCCCAGAGTCGATGATCACTCTGGCACTCGAACCCAGTACCGTTCAATTCAAACCCCATCGCGTTATCTAGTTAGCAACTGAGTCCTGATAAACACTTGCTTGTGAAATGGGATTGATCAATTGCAGTCCTAATCATCAATGGGAAGATTCAAGTAAATAATACCAAGTGAATAATAAGTACCTAGTTGCTAATATCTTTCTGCATGTATTTATATAATACATATACACTCATAAATGCTATGTAACAATTTTAAGCCATGTTTTTAAAATCTAGGCTGTTGACAGTATCTGTATATTCACTAAAATTCAATGGCAGAAAGATGTAGTATAGTGTTTGAATTTTTTTTAAAAATGGTCGATCGTTTTGAAAATTTTCCAGATCATATTTATATAAACCATGTATGAGACTATAACTTATGAACGACCTTTTGACTGACTCCAACGTGACTTTGAGAACATCCACCTACACACTACAGCTAAATGAGGATTATAAATTAGTATGTAGAATTAGGATTAATATTTACAGTTGATAGTTAAGGTTAGAAATTAGATTTAGGGTTTTCATCATGAACTGAAATCAGTTATAATGCCAAAACTCTATTTATCCAAATGAATATGTGAATATATATATATATATATATATATATATATATATATATATATATATATATATATATATATATATACAAAATGGTATCACCATTGTCAGTACATATATGTAAATAGGTACTTTACAAATTGCAACGAAAGCATGTATAATTGAGCTCCTTAATTCACATTAGCACACATCCACTTTAAGTGATCAAAATAATAATAATAAATAAGAAGAAAAGTTGGTCTATGGAATTTTTCTTTCTTTCTTTCATTCTTTTATTGTAGAGAGCACAAATGAAAAAAATAGTTGATAGAATAAATCGCTATTTTGTTTACCTACAGACATATATGATAAACATACATTGAAACTATTAAAAAACACAAAAGAGAGGAAGGTTGATTATTCAACTAAACAAAATGATCATGATATAATATCTTATTTGTTAATTATTTATAATGAGGAATATGAAGAATAAGTATAATTCTATATGGAATCATATTTTATGTTACATATTTGTTTAATATTCATATTGGATTGTGTCTTGACAACTAATCACTAATAAAATATTGGGATAGCAACATAAAGGAAATGGTAATGTTGTTTGTTTACTTTTTTTCGTTTAAAAGTAGTAATGGTGTGTATTGTATGGTGATGATAATGATGATATTTATTAAATAATGATTTAATGTTACTATAGTTTGTTCTTTCTAATATAAATTGAATTTTCATTGATATTGTATTTAGTTATTGAGAAGATATTCAGGTTTGTATTTCCGTAGATTAATTTTTAAAAAAATAATAACAATTGAGTTTGAATTCACTTGGTATTAATATCAGAAGGGGGTCTGTGTGGATATTATAGTAATTTTAATAGCTGAGATCATAAGCCAATTGAAGCTAGACCACCATGGAAAACCTGGAAGCACTGGACGGCTGTTTCGTCCTATTGTGTGACTCCTCAGCAGTGCACATCCACGACCCTGCCTCGCGCGTAAACACTTAACCATTAGACCACTGAGCCGGCACACGACAGTGTGAATGTCTAACTTAAGCTAATCCACGAAATTGAGCGACATATCCATCACTTGGTATTGTTTACTTGAATCTTCCCATTGATGCTTATGACTACAAATGATCAGTCTCTTATTGGTATTTCTGTATCCTGTGCTGATTACCTCGATATCACCTTAATTCACAAACAAAGTACTGGGTTCATGTCCCAGAGTGAATCTCAACTTTGAGATGCAGGTACATCCGGCTGACGAGTCCTAAATAGGGTGAAACGCGCATCCTGGATTTCAGTGCTAGCCACTATCCAACTTTGCCTACAAAAGAGCTTAGTTTCATATTAGTTTATCAATGGCACTACATACTGACTGAGGTTATAGTACACATGTCAAGTTGCTTTTTTGAGTTATATAGTTCCATTTCTAAACTTCCATCTTTGTTTTAAACAGTGTTATGGTGAAACTTAAACTTCATAAGTTAAATTAATTCAATCTAGTTAATCTTAAACCAATGATAGTTCAATTCAAATCTAACTTATTGTATGATTGAAATGATAGGTCATTCTTGTTGAAAAGTATAAGAGTTTTGTGTGTTAGTTGAAATTACTATTAAATTATTAGCTTGTATTTAGCTATTTTGACTTCTGTAAAATTAAACACCAGTTAAAATAAATGGCTTAAATTCATGTAGAAAATTATTCTAATACTGTTACATTTCATAATAATATTTGTACGATTTATGAATCAAATTTCTATGAACAAAAGAAGTAATTGTAATAACTTGTGGCCTTGTGCCTCATTCATATATGATATAATGATACCGTCAATTAGAGAACAATCACGTATAAAACCTGTATGAGCAATCTAGAGTTTTTATCGGTCCCTCTTTCTGCCCAACCCTGTCTGTTAAGTACAGAACACCAGTCTCAGACTCCACGATATGAATCATGTATTTCAATCATACTGGATTTATATGTAAACCAAACAGACCACATCATACAATAAAATGGTAAACAACATTTGTACACGACTTAACTAAATGTTGCTGTGAATATGGGAGACTATAATTAGTAGACTGGGTATAATTGAAGAACTGCAAATCGTATATTAATATTCTATGGGTTAAAATAAACCTTATAATAATAGGAACACGAATATGAATAGTTTAGTTACTTAAAATATATGTATAGTATTAGTAAAGAAATAGATTCCAATGGTTACCATTTATTATTCTCATCGGGATACAACCGTAATTTCTTGTGAATATGTCCGAATTATGTCTAACTGTATCACTGACTTAAACGCACTGGTTGATAGATATAATCCATAGATTAGCTTAAATTAGTTGTATATTTTGAATCTTAGTAATGTTAAACTGAAAAATCCGTAAACTGAACACTGCTATTAGTTTACTATCAGAAAGTTTTATGCTTTTTATTGAACTATAACGTTTATTGATTAATTAACTCTTAGCCGGAAATGAACCATCTTCGTGAATGTTGTTCGAATTTCTTTATTTCTCGTAAGTTCTTACGTTATCACTTAGAAAGCATTTTCTTACGTAAGAATTAATCAGTTATGATGAAGACTTTGTTTATAAGGACGTTTAATATTCATTAAAATCAGCCTGTATTATATAATTTTTAAATTCATGGATAAAATCTAAACATCACTAATAGAAATTCAATTTCTACATACAACTTTTATTTAATCTTGTCGTTGCCAATATCAATTGAAGCTTGTAGAATTAATAAACCAATATTCTTCATTAAAAGATAGTTAGTCTTCCTTTGGTAACTAAATAAATACAGATTAATAATCTGTTTTTAACAAACTGTTGTTACTATCATCATGGAGCTGATTTTCACTAAATTAATTTGCCATAAAAAGTGCTATGATGAGTAAAATTAATGTTTTTTTTTAAAGACTTTGCTGCAAGGCATAGCAACTAAATCTTGTAAACTCTACAATTTAACATCTAGAGACCCATTATATTGAAATTTAAAATATTATGAACTTCTTCAAGTTTATTTGGCAAGGACGATATATTATGTGAGTGAATTTATTCAGGCATAGTGTTTGAGATCATTTTAAATGTTAATTTGAATGTATTTAGTTTCAGTTTTATCCTAACACCTCTGGTAATCAATCAATCATGAACAACATGATATTCATAAAATACTATTGTACTGTATTTTGTTTTATACTTCAATACCTTTTATTGGCATTGCTGCAGCAAATACAGTCTGTTGTTGAGATGTATTGATTTTGGATACCAAGTATCAAAACAATTTAGTCTAGTAAGTAAGATCTTACTGCAATACAAATTCCACATACCATGATATCTCACTTGTCATTAAGAGTTTCAACATAAGTGCCACAATCTTTTACATCTCCAAAAGTCCCACTGAGTAATAAAATAAAATTAGTAGTTAATAGTAAGTACTATAACTGATAGATTTTATTTGTTTAACCGCTGTACCAACAATCACCATATTCATTAAAATGCAAATCATACTACGTATTCCATTATTCTTTGGATATCATATTTAATATTGTAAAGATTTTACAAAAAAAAAGAAATTTACAAAATGTAATACTTGATGAAGAGTTGACAATTGAAATGTTTAAGAGAAACGTGATAACAAACGAAACTGAAATTGTACATAGCTTTGAATTGTGAACTGAAAGGTTCTCATTGTAAACAGAGGTGCATGGTGGCTAGCAGTGGAGTCAAGGACGCGCCTTTCATCCCATTTTGGGTTCGTAAAATGGGCGTACCAACACCACACAGTTGATGTTCACTTCACGACTCAAACAAAAGACCTTTCATTTCAAACGCCATCATGTTATCCGGTTAGCTTGTGAGTTCATATAACTACTAGCTTGTGTAATAGACCGAATTTAAATTCATTTTATCATTGGGTTTTTGAATATTTTCATAGATGTTTAAGACAGCAATTGATCAGTCCCGAGTTGAACACCAACCATGTGAATCAGGTACATCCAGCTAATGAGTCCCAAGCTGAACGAAACATACTTCCTGAATGTCACCGTTAAAATACTTGCAACCTAAGGTAATATCACACAGTCGATACAAGATGCCCATATATCAAAATAGACTGATCATTTTTAGTCTTCAACATCAAATAGAATATTTAAAAGACCAATATAAATGAAGAAAAGGTCTACAATGATTGATTTTTGATAATCTCATATCATTCTAACTCGTTTGAGCATTTTAATCTGCTTTTACAATGTGACACTTCTTATTTGTTTTTTTGTTGCGAAATTTATTATATCTGATATATACACCGTAAACTTATATATCACTTTATAGCAATCAATCTAAACATAGACAAATAGTATTCCAAGAGACAAAAAGAAAAGAAAAGGCAAAGAAGAAATATGTCAGTATTTATAGTCTAAGTTATTTCTATCATAAAAGAGAATATAACTGATGATGAATAGTCTCAACAATTTTTTATGACTTATTTTGTTTTCTTCTAAAATATCAATGATTAGTAACCATGGATAAAGTTGTATGAACATCAATTTATTTTCTTATTTTTTATTTCTATGTAAGTTAAACAAAAGACGAAAGAAGTACACTATACATATATAACTTTTTTTAGATAGAAGACAATACATTAACTTATATAATACATTGTTTATATGTTTATTCTATAATATTCCTATCTTGTTTTTTCTATGTGAATAACACATTCAATATAAATGTCACAATTCTATTGATTTTCTTTTTGAAGATAGAGTAATGATTATGATTGTTTTGTTTAATAGTGTACACTTATGATATAATCAAGAAACAGATCTTGAATGTTCAGTTTTGATATAGTTATAGTTTGTAGATATCAATACCAAGGTTTGATTTGATAATTCCGAATATATTGTGTATTGGATAGATTATTATCAATAAATTAATATATTTGTAATATCACAGATTGAAATCATGAGTCAACTGAAGCTACGCTACCATGGAAAACCTGGAAGCACTGAACGGCGGGATAGTGGATGCGCACTGCTGAGGAGTCCCATACTAGGACGAAACGGCCGTCCAGTGCTTCCGGGTTTCCCATGGTGGTCTAGCTTCAATTGACTCATGATTTCAATCTGTGAAATTTCTAAAATCTGATATTTGTATTATCTTAATAAATAGAAATATTAGATTTTCTGATGTTTCGTAACTTAGTTTAAGCCACTTCTTCAAAGTAACATCAGAAAATCTAATTTTTTCTACTCATTGAGATATTACAAATATACATTGTTTATTGAGTTATAGTTCATTTAGGTAACTGAATCAAAATCTGTCAATCGATATTTTTCAGTTTAATGGAAATTATTACTGTTATTAGTATTATGTATGACTATTTTGTAATGGATGACGTAGGGACTGGATAGAAAAACAAGAGCATTACATTTTTGTTGCTGTTTTTTTAAAATAAAGATCACTTAATCATGGGAGGAACTTCCATAATACAGGTAAAACATATGAGGCAATACTATATCATCATGTATTTAATACTTTACAACATTCATCGAAGAGGGTGTATTTGAATTCGTTGA